AGCACTGACTGATGGTGTTGGGGTCCGTGATGAAGAGCACTGACTGATGGTGTTGGGGTCCGTGATGAAGAGCACTGACTGATGGTGTTGGGGTCTGTGATGAAGAGTACCTTACCGACTGATGGTGTTGGGGAGTCTATGATGAAGAGCACTGGGAGTAGGGGTGTTAATCACCTCTTTGTACCACATGGAAGCTAAGACTTTAGTCAACATGAAGCCTGATCCCATAGGAATTTGACAGGAAGATAGGCATGGTGCTGGATGCTGACATCCTCCAGGCTATACTATCGGCCTCCCCTTCCTTATGGCTCCTCATGCCTGTTCCTGCTCAGGTTAATTTTTTAACCAACTGTAACGGGGGGAGGGGGTGTGTCCTGTGTTTCTCTAGTTAGCATTTCCCCTGATGTTGGAGGGAGATGGTGAATGAGCTGCAGAGAGGAGAGAACTGGTTCTTGAAGGCTGGGTGACCCAGGGCGGACAGCAATTGTGCCTGTTTAAGCCTTACACAATCCGTCATCTCTGAAGACTCCAGCCTCACCCTGTGGAATGGGGAATCTCACTATTTTCTCCTTACCCACTTCTTTTCTGTCTACCTTGTCTTCTTGTCTTGAAGCCCTTATGAAATTTAACTTTTTTTTTTTTTTTTTTTTTTTTTTTTTTTTACGTATCACCTCTTTCTACCAGCTACAATACGGGTTAGTGACGGCTGGTATCTTTGATCGATTTTTTTTTTAATTGACATACCAAAATGCTTTGAAAAGGAGCCTGGAGCATAAGAGGCACTGGATATGTGTTGGGGGGAAAAAAAAACACTTCTGGGGCAGGGAATAAAAAAGAAAACAAGCAGCTGGATATTCCCCAAGGCTTCTGAGATAAATGCAAATAAGGAGTCCTAAGTGTCTGAATAATTCAATGGAATTCAGCAGGACATTGCCACAAGAAGACAGTTTCTGGTTTGCACTGCTGCTTCCTTGGACTTTATCCCCCTCCAGGGAGCCTGTTCCAGGATCATCTTAGGAAGGAATGCTTGAGAGATAAAGGAACTTGTTTCGATAAATAGAGGGGATATTGGAATGGATGGTGATTGGCCCTGGCTAGTGGATTTCTCTGGAAAAAAAAAGCTGCTTCTCCATTTTATGCATAGAGAGTACGGACTTTTCTCACTCATTTAAGGGTTACTATGGCTGGGTATGTGTTTCATATAAACTAAGTTTATTATAAAAATATATATGATTTGATTTAATTCATTTGGAAGAACAGAACACAGTGACTATGGTGAATTAGCATACACTTTCTTGTAGACTTGATTAACATTTATGCGTATTTTAGGTCAGATGTTTCTAAATTCCCATGTGGGCATTAGTGTTGGTTCACAATAAAAAATTAATGGGAAAATAACAAAATTAACATAGTCATGCCCTTTTAACCAGCAATTCTATTCCTAGGAATTCATTCTGTTCCTGTATAGAAATACAATTAGCTACAAATATACTCATCATAACATTATTATTTGGACTTGTAGAAGAAAAGAAAAGCACTCTACCTGCCAAGACTTCAGTGTATTTAAACAATGAAAATTTATGCAGTCATGGTATCCAAGAGTATTTGTTGAAATGAAAAGATAGCCATCAAATTTGACATTGAAATTGGCGCAATAAAAAGCACTATATATTCAAATGTGAAAATCTTGATATAATATTGACAGTAGTTATTTCGGAGTAAGGGAAGCTTGCTATTTCCTTTTTAGTTTTTTTTCTTTCCTGTGCTTTACAAATTCTTACAATCAGCAATAAGAATATCTAACCCAAACACTGCATTATCAAAGGATATACATCTGTACATTATATACTCAGAACTTTTACATATTTTCCCAGTGTATGCTATTAAGAAGATGTAAGCACTTTGGAGAACTAAGTTCCTTTCACTTGATAGCTATGTACGTTTGGGACACAGAATAAGGCCACACGACATGTATCTCAATAATTGGGAATGCAAATACATAAAGCTGTATCTTAATTAGTATGCACTGCTTTAATGATTTAGAACATAAACTCACATGATTTTCTGTCATTATCATTGTGGGAGGCGAGTTACATTCTCCTTTACGTGTTAGAAAAGCTAGGTTGTAATGCTCATGCTGTATATGTGATTTGCCTAACTTCACTCAACTAGTAACTTCTGAGCCCTGAAATCACATTTCCTTGGTGCTGGGAACGGGATGCAAGACCTTGTGAAGATTAGGCAAACAACATCCCTGTTATGTTCTTGAAGCAAAATCATAAATTATGTGCTCTGATGAACATAGGATGTCTTCGGGGATATTTCCATGCTAAGTCGTGCATAATGCATGACACAGATGGGGAGATTTCCTTGAATAAACAGATTGAGCAGCGCCAGGAACTGGACAGCTTCTGAGAGAAGAGTGCCCATGGCTGGCCTTGACCGTGTTATGGCAGCTGTCTGGGTAGAGGGCTCAGCTGAGGTGGGTGGAGTCAGAGATGGCTCTCCATGTGGTGTGTGAATTTCACATGGAGACAGCCGTCTGGGAACCAGTCAGTGCCTTCTCCACCCTGCACTGTTTGAAGGATGACTTCCTCCTCTGCTTGGACACTTATTTGAGAAAAGCAATCCAAATCCTATCAAAATAAATGTATTTATAGAATCCTGATGACTGTTAAAAAGTGATGGAGGAGATTTCCTTGCACTAACTGTGTATAATTTGAGCTACTGTGTTTAATATTTGAGAGCTATATTAGAAGATTTGACCAGTCCACTCAGCATCTCAAACCTAATGTGTTTAAAGCCAGCTACTGATAGCAGTTGCTCAGGCCAGAAACCTCCTTGTCCTCCCGGAGGCTTTTCCGTCCCTCAGTCCAATACAACAGGCCGTGTGTCATTTACCTGAACAATCACCTGGATTGAAGTCATTGCTCCCACACCCTGCTGCCTCTTCTGATCCACTCACTACGTTTTCACCTCAACACGTCTGTCGCCCTAGAACGTATTTGTTCCAAGATAAGTGAGTTCCTATCACTTGGGAGGCAGAGATCCATCTGGATCTCTGTGAGTTTAAAGCTACACTGGTAATAGCCAGGCATGGTGACTCATGCCCTTAATCCCAGGAAGTGATGGCAAAAAGCAGAAAGGTATATAAGGTGTGAGGACCAGGAACTAGAGCTGGTTAAGCTTTCAGACTTTCAAGAAGCATTTCAGCTGAGATCCATTTGGATAAGGACACAGAGGCTTCCAGTCTGAGGAAAGAGGATCAGCTGAGGAATTTCGAGTTGAGAAAGCTGTGACTTGTTCTGCTTCTCTGATCTTCCAGTGTTGACCCCAGTACCTGGCTCCAGGTTTGTTTTTATTAATAAGACCTGTTAAGATTCATGTTACAAATGTATCTTTTTGATTTGGATAGAAGCATGTGGCAGTTTTTTCCTAAATCACTAGGTTTTTAGGTACACAGTGTCAATTTTAGCAATTTTGCTCTACAAATCCTGTTCTAGAACTAGATCTATTATTCACAGAGTCATTATGATTTTGACAGATCTTTCATTTTAACTTTGCTCTCCATCACACTTTCATTTTCTTTCAGAAAAGAGGCACAGCTGGATGAAGAAGGCCAGTTTCTTGTCAGAATAATATATGATGATTCCAAAACATACGACTTGGTGGCTGCAGCAAGCAAAGTCCTCAGTAGGTTCAATGAATCATTGCTACTCTGGATCAACCACACATAGGTCTGCAAAGGAATCTATGCTCCAAGTGTATGATTATGCAAGCTGTTCACTGAACAGCCGTGGTGGAGCGATTCTATGATGCTCAGCTGGGGCTATGCTGAAAACTATTCTTCCCATATAAGCTGTTTAGTGAGTAGAAAGGGGAACGTAGAAATTCTCCCTTCCCATTCAAGTCCTTGTATGGAGAAAATACAACTACTAATATTTCAGCCATAAAAACTTTGGTTACAGCACCAACCATAGAGTAAGCATTCAAATGTAGAGGGCAGAGAGCATTATTTTCAAATGTGTGTTGCAGTGATAAGCTATGTGAAGCACTGACAGGGAGAGAGAGGAAATTCATTGACAAATGAAATTGATAGATAAGACCCATGGCTGAAAAAGATGTAATTCAAACAGGTTTCATGGAACAAAGCTGATATGAGTATTAATGTTCCAGGGGGCTCATATGCATCTCGACTCCATTCTGCACAGAAGACCATGAAACTCTCAGCTCTACTGGACAGGATTTATGAATTAGAAATAAAACTACTAGATAAAAGAAAAAACAGACAGCAATTATGAAAGAAAATATGGAGTAAACTTTTAAAATACTAATTTTCAAATCTGTGAAACTGAAATATCTGTCCAGATCAAGAATAGAGCTAAAGAGGAAATAAGATGTTTTCAATTTAGTGATAAATTGAGGCAACTTTGGGAACTGATTTTATATTATCTACATCACTTAAAATATTTTTAAACTCTGTTAATATATTTTGAAATTCATTTTTTGTGTGTGAAGTGTACATGTTTGTGTGTGTGGGCATGCAAATCACATGTGTGTGTGGACATGCATACATATGTGTGCATATGTGTATATTTTGAGGCTAGAAATCAGTCAGGTGTTTTTGTTAATCATTCTTATTTTTTCAAAATATATTTTTAAAAGTTTGGAGATTATAATGTAATTATATCATTTCCCTATTCCTCTTCCACCCTCAAAACGCTCCTGTGTATACCCCCCACTCTTGCAAATCTATGTATGACCTCTTTTTTTATTATTGTCACACACACACACACACACACACACACACACACACACACACACACATTCCGAAGTGCATGAATACCACCTGCTCAGTCCATATAATGTTACTTTTATGTCTATGCTTTCAGGGCTGACCACTTGTTATTAAATAACCAATTGGTGTGCTTTTCCCTGAGAAAGACTGTTTCTTCTGCTCTCAGCATCCCTTAGTTGCCTGTAGTTCTTCCTATATGGCTGAAGCCTCATGAGCATCCTGCTCCCATCCACATTAGCTTGTCTATTAGTGCCATCCCTGTTCAGCTCCTGTTTCAGCAGCCATGGCGGTTTGATATCATGAGTACAGTTTCTGACATATTTAGGAGACACAATCTCACGGCAAACTCCCTAGTCCCCTAGATTTTACAGTCTTTCTGGTCCCTCTTCTGAAATGATCCCTGAGCCTTAGGTAGAGTAGTTGTGTTGTAGATGCATCAGTTTGGACTAGACTCCACAACTCTACATTTTGGTCAATTGCTTCACCTTATTTTCTGAGATAGGGTCTCTCACTGAACTTAGAGCCCAAGATTTGGCTCGATGACTCATGGGCAAGCAAGCTCCAGTGATCCACCTGTCTCCAACCCACCCATACTGTAGTTACAGACATTCACTCCTATATCTGGCTATTGTATGAGGGCTAGAGATCCAAACACAGCTTATCATACTTCTGAGACAGGCACTTTGCCAAAGACTCCATCCATCCAGCCTTCTCACACTGTTAAGGAATTTTTACTGAAGACATATGATATCTGCTTCTTACTAAGATTTATGTGTAAGTGGTCTTCTTACAATTATTTATATTATCAAATGCAAAAGGTATGTATTTTCAACTAGAGAAGAGTAGTTGAGTACATTATTACACTCATAAGTTGAATAAGATGTCAGTCAAAATCCATACAGAAAAAGTAAACACTTAAAATTTAGAAAATGTTAATGACTGCCTATTAAGAAAAAAGCAGGATATTAGGGTATGTACTCTGGAAAGAAGTAGTTAAATATTTATGTTTATATAAAGAAAAGTTATTTTGCAACAGAGTATCTTATTATATTTATTCATAGTGTGTGTGTGTGTGTGTGTGTGTGTGTGTGTGTGTGGTGTGTGTGTGTGTGTGTGTGTGTGTATGGTATATAAATGCTTATGTCCCACAGTTCATGTGTGGAGGTCAGAGAACTTCTGGGAGTCCTTTCCTCTTTCCTCCACCATGTGGGACTTGGGCATCAAACTCTGTCACTAAGTTTGATAGAAAGCACCTTTACTACCTAAGCCATTTTTCTGGGCCTGTATCTTTGACTTGAATAAACTGTTTCTCAAAAGAAACAATACACTAAATAGATACTTATAAACTATTAAATGTAAGTGTGTTACTATGTAAGTTGAGCAAATGGTTACATTGCTAATTCTGTGAATTACACTATTAACATGTTAGCACATAGTCTTCTCCAGCAATTGCAGTATGCTGGCCAGAGATTCTCAGTCTATGTTCACACTCTATCTAGTTTCATACTGCACAAAAAAATGTGGATATTTTAAGTCATTTTCATATAGACTTGTTCTTATTCCTCTTATTGACAGTTTTCTGCCTGTTGTTCTTTCTTCTTTAACCTTCAAAACAGACCTCAATGCTGGTGAAATTCTGCAGATGTTTGGGAAGATGTTTTTCGTCTTTTGTCAAGAGTCTGGCTATGATACCATCTTGCGTGTCCTGGGATCCAATGTCAGGGAGTTTTTGCAGGTGAGAAGTTGGAGGTCCTGAGAGTGAAGGCTCTGGGTGTCAGCTCCTAAAGTTGAGCTCTTGAGTACTTCTATTTAGCCAACTGGACAAGAGTGTCTTGCTCTTGAAGAGGAACCCTAGTGACCATTCCCACATGAAATCGCGTTATTTGATGATCCTGCGTATCTTTCAGGTTTCATGGTCTCTACTTGTTAACTCTAAACATGCAAGCCATTGATTAGTATTCTCCTCAAGTCCACATGGTCTATTACGATCTGTTCAATTGCTTTAAATAAGAATTGCAGATATGAATGGTGTGGTCTTCTCTTTTCTATATATGATATAGCTTTATTCTTTGTAATATACTCCTAAATCTAAGGTCCCATTGAACAGTGTATCAGTATTCAGGAAGTGCTGCTGGGCCTCCTTACTAGGAGAAAGGTGGGTTGGGGGATGGGAGAATGGGGGGCGGGGGG